ATTATATATTTTAGAATATAAAATAAAATAATATATATTTATTTAATTAATATTACTTAATAATTAATTAATATTCTCGAACTCGTTCAAAGGAGAGCAGTAATAAAGACAATAATTAATTAAAATATTTAAAGGGGACTTTTTATAGATAAGAAAATTTATTTCCACTCGCAAGAGACGAAATCGTCTCTCATTCATTCTCTTTAATTAAAACATTAATTTCAAGCTAATTTTAAATACAAACTTTTTATTCAATTTATTTTAATAAATAATACACGTCACACATTTGCGTACCAGTAACAGCAAATATATTTTTATAAAAGATTTGGAACGAAATAAAAAAAGAAAAAAAAAAACAATTTATTTCCTTATGTAAAATGACATCATTTTCTTTTGTAAAATTTTGTATCTTTTTTATTTTTATTTTTATTCGATCTAACATGATATTCCACTCGTTGCTATCGATAACGACGTTAAATTCGTTCAGTATTCGATAGATCAGAGAAAAGAGCCGAACCTTTAACGACGTACGTTCTTCTTTTCTGCTGCCTACTCGTTTCGTTAACGATCGTTCTTTTCGTTGACGACCTCACCAAACCACCTTCTCTCTCTCTCTTTCTCTCTCTCTTTCTTTTTTTCTCTTTTTCTGTCTTCATGCGATCATTGGTCTTTGATGTGTAAGTATTGTGTGTATTTTCTCTTTTTTACTCGTTAGTACTCATCCATTTTGTAAACTGGATATAAATCGATAATTTTCTTTAGATTTTATAAAGAGATTTTTATATAAATATAAAACATATTATATTTTTCCGTTTAATTTTCTCTTGGCTTCTTTCTCATTTACTTATTTATGTATTTATTCTTTAAATGATGCGTTTGTGGAAATATTAAAATAAAGTTGGTAATATTTATTTTTTCTTAATGCACGAATGCAATTCGAGTTCAAGAATTTTTTGGGCCAAGAGATGTCAGAGTATACGTTTCGTCGAGTTTTATATTGCAAAACTATTTTATCGAATTATTTTCAGTGAAAAGCTTCTTCCCCGTGAAGATAAGTTGTAAGAACGTCAGAAAGATTCTGTGTGCCTTACTTTTCTTCTAAAAATAACTTTCATATTTTTTGAGGATGCGACGTATACGTGAAAATGTATTGATAGGTATTAGAAAATACTTTCGTCGATTATCAAACGCACAAAAAATAAATTTATATTTATGTGATTTTTAATAATAATTTAATATATTTATTATAATAATTTGTTATTTATATAATTTATAGTATATTTTTTTTCTTTTATTAAAATACTATATTTTAAATAATACATATAATAATAATGCACGCATCACGCGTATATATATATGTCTATATTAATAATAATAATAACAAAAATTGCATAAAAATCAAACTAAAATAATATTTAAAGTATAACAAAAAAGTATAACCTTGACACCAATGAAATATAAAGGTCAGTCAACAACAAAATAATAATATTAATTTATATATTTACAGTAATATTTATGCACAATTGTACACTCGTCTGTTGTTCAGAATTAATAAAATGACTTTGGTATGGAAAAATGTGATTAAAAATAAAAAAATAAACGGCAGCATGAGGATTATTTTAAATCATATTAAAAAATAATTTATTATATTGTTTTAATAGTGTTCGTTAACCGAATAGGAAGTTTCGTAATTAAGAGAATGAGTTTCTTGTTCAGTTTCTAAACCTTTATCGTGATCATGATCCTGTACTTGAACTTGTACGTAGTCATGTTGATTGTGAGAATAGATATTAGTCGGAGCATGATCGTTCTTACCGGAAGTATGAACAACGGCGTGGAATCCATCCTTGTCAGCGTGATAACTGACAACCCTTAAGGTACCTCCGGGTTCCTTTACACTATACTCACCAGAAACGCTATGACCTGTGAAATTTAAAGGATCAAATTAATTTAATCTTCTTCCTCAAATCGTTACAACTACATTTTCTGTCATATAAATTTCATTTTATTCATAGAAATGAATGAAACAATTTTTTTTTGTATTACCAATATAAGATCCAAGCGTATTTACAATTAATATCACTACGAATAAATTGCATTGTTAAACAAATTTTTAATCGTGATTTAATTTTTACGGAAATAACATAATGGTACTAATAAAATAATCCAAACAAAAATTTGACATTATAATCTTAATATTTTCAATAAAAATTCTTATATATTATTAAACAAAAACAAAATTATGGAGATCTAATTTATTTATTTATTTATAATTAATTTAGCTTATACCATTCCTTGATTCTTTTTGTCCATGGAAGTCACCAGTATAATGATCCTCGACACCATAAGCGAACTGATAATTAGGATTAGCAACGTAATCAATAGCATATCCTTGATCCTCAATAGGATGATTTTGACCATGAGACAAATAATTATGTTCGTTTTTGAGAACAACGTATGGTACTTTCACTTCATATTCTGGACCTTCTACTGGACCATGAAAATGGATGTAAGAACTCGCTAGGGAAATTTCTGGGTCTTCGTGTGTTTCCGTTTCAACTTCGTCAACTGGGATTACTACTGTTTTCGATCTATGGATCATCGTGATGACGAGTACTATAGTTACCTAAATTGATCAAAAAATATTCTAATCTATTTGATCTGAATATTTAATTAGTTATTTTTATTGTTGTTTTCTTTTTTGTTTAATAAGTTTCATAATGCAGTTTCTTTTTTGTTTTTTAGAAATTTGTTTCGTCATCCCAATTCAGGATTTTTCTAATACTAATCGTTGCCAATTAAATTTAGATCAGATCCGGTGTGTACCACACACATTTTAAAAATAAATTTAATATTTTTTTATTTATTTCACCGCGAATTTTAATTTCTACGTCTAATAATTATTATTGATACATTGACACTTAAATCTTATTATTGATCATAAATTTAAACTTAATTAACTTGTTGTTAATTTTTGTATATATATTTTCAATTTCTTTGATCGATTTCAAAAGACAGAACGAAAGTTTTTTTTTTTGTCACTGACTTTTATTCTGATTAACACTGACTTATCTTATAATCATATTTGAGTTTCCTATTTAAAGACTTTACCTTGAAAGTCATTTCTTCTATTTCGATATTAACACGGTCAGGTGAGAACTGCGACTTTCCAATGTGTTTTCCAAGCTTTTATATGTCAGTGAAGCGGAGGCAAGTTATTCTATGTCCACTCATGGTTACGCATACATACATCTATGAAGAATCTGTTTGTTCCGTATCATCTTGGTAACTCGTTGAAGAGAAGCGCCAGTTGTCGTGTATAGTTTCACTATTGAAATACTCCTCCTACTTCTCCTCTAACCCCTACTCCTTTTCATTTTATATTTTTTTTATGCAAGCTGATCAGCGCTAACAGCTGGAACATAGCACCAGGTGTTATAAGACCGATTACGCTTGTCTACGCCCGTGAGATTTGATCCTTCCTTTTAATATTATCTAGAAAAATAATAAAATATTACAAATATAAAGGAATAAATTAAATGAATTATTACAATATTGTATTATTTTTTATTTTAGAGTGTTTGGATTTGATTAATCGTAAAATATATTTTTAGTTGAAAATTAAGAGAAACATTAGGTAAAAATTATGATATTTGATAATAATTACGATAGTAGTTTGATTTTAAAGTTTAGAAAATAAGTGAAGCTAAAATTTGAAATACTTTTTTAAATTTTATATCCGAGTAATTATATGATTAGGTTAGAGTAGGTAATGAAAGTAGATAGAGTTAAAATTAATAACTAAATTTTTGTTATGTCAATCTGTGTCATAATAATATTAAAAAATATTTAAAAGTTAGATTATACTCTTGTAATCATTAATACGTTTCTTAGATCGATTTTAATCGGAATTTCTCAATCGAGAAAGTTATAGATTAATGTAATTCAAGTAGATCATAGAAGCTAACTCATAGTATTTAATAGACGAGAAACATAGTTTTCTCTTATTTTGGACTAATCTACTTTATATATGAAATCAAGTAAAAATATCATTAAGAAGAAATCAAGCGAATTTTACAATGAAGAAACAATATTGATTATTAAAACTTTTATTTAAGAATAATCAATAATTTCAATAAAAATTAGTCAAGATTCTCAAGTTTGTTCTTCTAGAATTGATTTAAAAACTTCTTTTAATTTTTTATTCGGATGATTTGGTTTCTTATCGATAATCAATTTTAATTTAAAAATGAATTTTCTTTGTAAGAAAAAAATTAATGAGCGAATAAATGGAACGATTAATCAAAGAGATATTTTTAATTACTTATTAACGAAAAGATTTACATAATTGCATAGGTAATATTAAAATCATAATTTAAAAAATAATTTGTACAATATCAAACACAAAATTGTTAACATACAAGAATATTTTTATAAATTTCTTTGTACATTTTCAAGAAGTACAATTTTTTAGTTTTCATTCATATATTTTTCAAATTCTAAAGTTTAAATATTTATTGTAAGCAAAATAGAAGTTTATATTCGATGTTAAAGAAAATAATAGAAAATGAAATGACATACAACGTAAATATTTTATTGTACAAAAGAAAAAGAATAAAACAAATAATCTTAGATTTCACAGATTATCAAAAATTTATACAGAAAAATGAAATTCACGTCAATACTTTAGTCCGTCGCTGTATAAATTTTCTTTGATAGATTACGATTGACGTATATTCATAAGCCACCTATAATCCTAAATTAGGATAATTAATTCGCTTTCACGAGATAGCCCATATATATTTAACGTAAATTGCATAATCAATGTCCGAAGAAAATAGATAAAAGTCTTTTAAAAATCAATCGATTAATTAAAATGACATTAAAATCATTTAAAATGTCTAGTATATTATAGTAATAATAATTGAAAGATTTTATTAACCAGTTAAGAAAAAGGAAATAACTCGGTAAAGATAATAGCATTTTTATGATCTTACAAGAATGGTTGCATCGTATTTTGTTTAATAAGCCAATCAACGATCGGAACTATTATAATGAATTGATGAGAATAATTTATATCCTTTCTTTTTTATTTCTTCTTTTTCTTATTCTTCTTCTTGACTTTCTTCTGATCGCTAATTGGATCTTCCTTGTGAAAAGTTTTTTACTTTTTTTTTTTATACATATATATATTTATATTAAACGTAAAAGGACGACTATTGTGTAGTAGGAATAAAGTTCCTTTGATAAATATATGTATATGTATGTGTATATAGTTATCAGAAACAGAAGAGTAGAAAAGTAAATACTACATTTTCGAGTAGCCATTCGTGTAATGCAAATTTTCTCAATTAAGGACGATTACATAGTCAAACGATTCTACCTTTTCTCATTGTATGTATGAGTATCTTCGAACGTATTCACCTATATACATATATACGTCAACTATGTCATCCTCATTGACCACAGGTTCCATTTTACCAACACTAAAATTTTCTTTCATCAAGTAGAAAATACGTGTTTTTCCGCAAACACGAATATAGTTCTTCAAATAATTACCTTTATTCTCGAGTATACGTAAACGAATCTGTAAATCCTATGACCTAAAGCAATCTAATTTTTCTTGATATTAAAATATCATCGAAAATCCGATAGACCCGAGATTTCAAATTCTTCATAAACGAAGTAGAAAAACAAATGAATTGCAAATTAAACTGTCAGATTTACGTGTAAGAAATAGTAGGTATACAAACAATTACATTGAAATTTGTCGTTGTAATTAGTGTAATGGTGTAGTTTTAGTTAATCTCTATTACTTCTTTCGGAAACTATTATCGTATGTTAAAAAAGCCGACCATTTAAGAATTTAATAATAAAAAAAAAAAAGAAACAACAGACGTTTATAGAAGGAAAGTAATATCTCAATTTGGTTACGAATAAATTTTTTTTAAACTAACGATATAATACAATAAATTTAAATCATCGTTACGTTAGATTATAAATAGTAATAGATAAAAAAAGGTAAATGTTAGAAATTATTTAAACATATTTATTACGATACGTACTTATTTTCAATCAAAAATTCCTCTCCCAATTTAATTACTTGATTATTAAAAAACAATAGAAGTAATATCATTGCATCTCTCTCAAAAGGATTAAATTAATTTTTCTATCGTAGAATATTTCTATTAATTTTATTCTGATTTTAAAAGAAAAGAATGAGACTTTTCAAGAGTCTCTTAAGAGATATGGTTGGTACGTTATTATCGTTCGATTGGGAAAACCCTTTTTGGAGAATATTTTCTGGACGATAGAGATGTAGAAAGATAGAACGAAAAAGAAAGAGAAAAAAGAAACAGAGAGAAAGAGAGAGGGAGAGAGAGAAAGAGATGTTGAGTTCTCTTCTCATTCTCATCATTTCTCTTTTTATTTTCCCTTGGGAGAAGGGTATCCTGAAAGGGTAGGAGACCGCGTCAAGTGCAAATTGCAGTAGACACTCGATCTAGGTCACGTCGGTCTACGAACAGACGAACGTGGTTGGGTTGGTACTTGATGGTTAAACGAATCCACGAAGGTGGAAGAGAACAGGTTTCTATGGTTGGTGTTCTCTCTCTTTCTCTCTCTCTTTCATTTTCGTTTTCTTTCTCATTCTAACTATCGTCTAGCGTACCATCTCTACACGAGTCTCTTATCAAAGCTTAACACAAACGCGTTTATACGTATATACGCGTTTACTGATCGATCTCTTTGATTTACGATCTACGATAGTGTTCTACTCGCATTAGACCCGTTTAACATTGGTACGCGACAAGTAAATTCGACGGTGATTCGACTAGAGTCGCTTCTTGTACATTGCGTTCCTAACATTTCTGTCTCTCTTTCTCTGATTCTCCACATTTCGTGTTATTCAGCTACAGGTAACCTATGTAGAACAGAATTTAAACAGAAAAAATAACGCTTTTAATTTATTCATTAGGAAAATTATTTATACGAAATAGTATATTTTTTGTAGATTTTTATTTTAATTACAAAGAATATATATATATATATATATATGTATATGTTACTGTCAAAGCCGGAAATCAGTCTTTGCTAGTAATTCCTCGGCATTGTTATCAATACATAGCGCCTATTATGTTCGATACCTAGGAAAAACTGGAAGAATTTTTCAATTTCCGACTTCGTCTGAAGGCTCTTTGCATTCATAGTAATGCCGAGGAATTACTAGCAATGACTGATTTCCGGCTTTGACGGTAACATATATATCTAATTTGTGTTAATATATATATATATGTAATAATATTAATAATGATGAATATATTTCCAATTAATATTTACTATATATAGTAAAATAAATTATAAAGGTTTCATTATAAATAATGACTGTAATAAAAATTATGTTTTCGCCTCATTGAAAAATTACTTTGACGAATATATAGAAATAATTAAAATAAAATATTATATATGTATCTGATATTAAAAATGGAAATAGAATAAAATAATAATAATAATAATAATAATAATAATAATATATGTAAAATATTATGGGATAGCATGAGAATGAAAAGAAAATAATGCATAATACTTGCACTTACACTTAACTTCTGCTTGCATCTTTCTTTCTCCTTCAGTAATGACGGCTAGAACGTACAAACAAGTAGCAGCAATGGGGGTGGTGGCATTCATAGACACGGAAACGGAAACATTCCGTTTTCCACGAGCGTACAGAAGCAGCAAGCTTATTGCGCTCGAGTTGTCAGGGGCTCGATTAAAATTCTCCTAGAAATTTCACATTCGTCCAACATGCTACTAAAACGACTACGATGACTACGACGAAAACGACTATGACGACGTTTTACTCACCTTTTAAAGTCCTGGAATTTCTACTTACGATTTTTCACACCGTCCACGTTTATTTTCCTTCTCTCTCTATCTCTCTCTCTCTCTCTCTCTCTCTCTCTCTCTCTCTCTCTCTCTCTCTCTCTCTCTTTACATTTTTGTTGTCTTTTCTAATCTATTCCTTTCTTTTATTTTACTTCTTTTATTTCTTTTTTTTTCTACTTTTAGCACGCATTATTTTTATAAATCCAAATCCAGTTGACAAAAAAATGTACCATCCAAAA